CTGGGTTTAGTACGAGCAATGTTCAGATCATTCACAATTTTGAAAAAATCTTTACCTGGCTTTGAGGTACCGAAACTTGTCTGAAGAAACACATCTTTCCGTAAAATACAGAGTCATAAACAAGTTAAAATGACGAGAGTTAAAAATCACCACACCGAATTCCATTTTGAAATAGGTAAATGAGCAGCTGCACCTACGCTAGGCCACGAAATCAACAACCAAGCAATGGAGCAAACCGTGCGAGTACCGTGGCGATGTGTCCACAGATCTGTTAGCTTGGGGCTAACAATAAGCTAACAATTGGATCTCATCAAGGTTCTCACAGTAGAGTATGTCACAGTAGATTATGTCAATAACATCCAGTCAGATTTAAGAATGGGTTATGACTGGCATAATAATAGCCACTTCTTAGTATGCAGACAGTGGCATACAAACTTTTTAACAAACCTCAAAATGGGTGTTCACAAATTATAGGCGACTGATGGGAAAGTGAGAAAACATTGGCTTCCTCTGGCTATGTCATTATGCAAAATGGAAAACATTCCATGGAGAAAAGTAAAAACTGTGTTTAAAGAATAAAAACAATCATACCAAGTTCATTCCATGGAAAATGAACAGTCATGATACAAAATGCTAAATATTACAAACTCTTTTACTGCTGATTTTCTTGGCATAATTTTGTTACTTTACTTTATCAAAGCAAAATATATGAAATTATTTTTGTAACCTATCTATCAAGGACTTGCTTTATTGTACAGGACCCTGATAGATTTCACTTTCACATTCTTTATAATCATGGTTATTAGCAGTTCATCTTCCATCTTTTTTCTTATTTCATTCTTATTTTCTCTATATTTATCCAAATCCTCAAGTTTATACATTAGTTTCGGATTGGCTGAATTTATTTGATTGCTTGACGCGTCACTATCAACATAGATTTTGTTTTCTGTTTCTAATAATCAGTATGAAATTCATTGATGTTTATTGTGGCATCTTGATAAACGAGGCCTCGTGAACCTTTTCTGTTTTATTCTGATCATCATGATTTCCAAAACTAGGTGTATTGTATGTGTTTTGCGGAATTCTGTTGCAGATGTTTGTGTGATGTTAATCTCAGGTTTGTAGTTGACAGTGATGGGGGCTATTGAGCAGCTTTTCATCTCATTTGTTTCAATTCTCTTTGATTCACATACAAACTTTTTATTGTGGTCCTCCTTTGTTAATGTGAATGTAGTGTAAATATAGGTGTTGCCCACTAAATCAGTGGGTAAAGCTTGTCCATTTTCTGATTTGATAATTGTAATTATATTAGGATCTGAATCATACACACATGCTAATAATAATGTTTCTTCAGTGACATATGAATTGTTTCTTAAGTGTGGGTTTCTGTATACTTAAAAACAATTAACTCATTTGCATTTTCACCTGCCTTAGCATTCATATACTCAAACAATCCTTGTATTCTCTCACTCCTGAAGATTGCATTAGCATGAAACAGTCTGTATATATTGTATTTTATTCAAACATCCAAAAGTAAACAGCAATTATACATAGAATGAACATATGTAAGTTAAGTCTAGAATATGATTAACGTAAAAAGCAGAACATATCTGCGGACAGTAAAATTGAAGGTAGCACGTCGGCCTTTTCTGTTCCCCAATTTTTATACTAACCCAAAGAGCTTCTTTCCTATTAAATAAAGTTAGCTGTGATTCTGTGAAATACATCTCTGTTTCCACAGATCCTATATACAAATTGTATATAGTTGCATGTTGTTGTATATAGGATCTGTGGTAATACTAAGGTGATCAGATCAGATTGAATGCCATCACATTCATATTAATTGGTCGCTCATTTTCAATTTTCCCACCAAAAAGCTTTTCTCTCAAAAAAATCAATGCGGACCGATAAGTAAGCTCTCACTGTGCTGTAATTGGTTGAGTACTGAACTCGTATAGTGTAGCATTGTAGCAGGTGTAGGCGGAACGATTTAAGCTAAGCCAAAATTTGTCCTGGCCGGACCAATATTATCCAAGGAGGACTAATTTTGGCCGGCTAAAATCGGTCCTGCGGACAAATTTTTGCAGCAAAAATCGGTCCCCCGGACCAATTTTAGCCCGGACCAATTTTGGCGTGACAGGCCTACCAAATATGATTGTCTTTTCCTGATAGTCCAAAAACAGGTTGTTGGTGGGCTGTTGTGTAGGAACTGTTATGTCGAAACTAGAATCTATGTGGTATTTTTTATGGCTGTATTCGTCTCACCATTGCTTAACCCACTTCCTTCAACATAGATTTCATTTTGTGTTTCCTGATAATCGGCGTGGAATTAAGTGACGTTGATTGTGGTGTGATTGTTTTTTTGAAATGAAAATGAAATGAAATTGTTACAAGGCCGTGTGAATCTTCATTTTTTCGAAAAGTAACTATTCCCAATTGTTCACAAATAGAACAACAGAGAATACAACAACATTTACTACAATGACAACAACAGAAGTGCTCCAATTACTTTCACTTTCTTCATCTTGATGTATTTACAACTGAAATGTTCACATTTTCACTCATCATCCTGAATTACCACTTACTGTAAGTGTTTCCATTTTTCTACCAAGTGTGATTTTCTTTTCCTGTGATATTCCACTAAGCAGGCTGTTAATAGGCTGTTGTGGCAAACTAAAATATTTTGTGGTATAGGGGCCAAACTCCCTGTTTCCTTCTTGTTTTATGAACAACAAGATGTAAATGTAGCATAAAACTATTTTTAAACATTTTCTTATTATCATCATGTGATATATTTTTTGTTTCTCTACTGATTTGAATGTCTCTTCTATCTACTTTGATTGCCTATCATTTTATTTGTACTATTTTCCTTTTATGTTGATCATATCTTAAATGTAATGAGTTAATAAAGCTGAAGAGTGAAGTATTTTAATTGCATTTGTTACATATTAAAGCCCCATTCCCGGCATGGTTTCAGTTTTTAAGAAAAATCTGTTTTGTATATATGTTATAAAGATTTATAAATGTAATACGAAATTGCTAATTTAACTGAATTTAGACATTCCTAAACATGAAAAAAATGTAAAATAAAACTGAAATTTTTTGTGTTCCACACAAAAATGCGGATGGATTTTTAATGTTTGATTTTGCGATAGGTCTGCAAAGAAATATAGTGGGTGTCGAAAACATTAGCCTATCCAACACTGCTAGGCTAGGCCTAGCCTTACCTTGATTTAGGTTCTGTTATCACACATAAAAACGGCCGACATATTTTCCGTTGCTAGTATTGACACTTGTAAGATATAATATTTCATAAGAAATATTTCAAATCTGTTAAAAAAATGATTCTGACCGAGATTTTGACAACACCACAATATTTTTCCACTGTTTATAATAAATAGTGTAATGCATATGCATATTTTCTAAAAAAAAATTCTTTTTTAGTGAAGGGGGCTTTAAAGTTTGATTACTTGGCCAAATTAAAAATGTAATGAGAAATGTATCCTAGTAAAAACCCTTAATTTTTGAATGAAGAATATATCCTATAAAGGGGTTGAATTTTCGGGGGTGTGGTACTGGTACTTAAAGTATGGTGATGACTACTGAAAGTCAGTTATGACAAGATTAAAAGGCATTTGTGTATTAGAGTTCCATTTGTATTCTATATTGCTTGGAAATGATAAATAAAATGAATGGAACATACTGTATGAGACAGTGACAGTAAGGAATGGACTCTTGTTTTAAGAAAGGTTATGATAACTAGGCTTAAATGGAGATATAGACTGTACAATTCTTATCTTTGCACATATCCTTGAAGTAGAAAGTCCCTACATGAAAATTAAATTGTTTTGATCTGTGTTTTGGTTTTGATATAAGGTTTTTAGGGATTTCCCCGATTGCACCACAGACGATTTATCTAATTGCACAATCTTACTATACAATCTCACTACATAACTTACATTTCCATTCTCTCTCTATAAAATTTACATACAAGAAAATGCTACTGTACATGCGAAAGTATTCTCTAACTTCATTAACGTACCAGTGACTATCTAAGGAGCAATTTAGCCAAGAATGTTTCATTTAACTGAAGCTACTTACAAATTTATTTTATTTAAAACAAATAATAGTAATTTGACATAAAGTAAAAAGAAAATTGTAGAAATATAAAATAAGAAGTGATTTAATGAAGAGCAGAGCGTTAGTAGCATTAGTCGTTAAATATAAATTATAATATGTAGTTTTCAAGAAATATTCAATAGTTAACTTCAATACCACATATTTATCCAGTTAAGAATTTAAACATCCTACAATTTAATGTAATCATTAAAAAAAAATAAAGTCAAATGTACATTTCATCCAGTTAAGAATTTAAGCATCCTGAAAATTTAATTTAATAAAATAAATGGAAGTCACATGTATAGATCATCCAGTTAAGATTTTAAACATCCTAAAAAATTTGAAGTAAAGATTTATTAAAAAAAAAAAAATTAAGGTCACATTTACAGTTCATGCAGTTTAAGAATTCAAACATACTGAAAATTTAATGTAATCATTTCAAAAGATTAAAGTCACATGTACAGTTGGTACATCTAGTTGAAGTGTTGTGTGTAATGCTTTAGCAACATATCCAGATGCTTTTGCTAAAATTGTTTATGTCATTGTTTAATAATAAAATTTTTCCTAAGTTTAAAAATTAAAAATATTATTAAATCGTATCCTGGTTAAAGAAATGCTTAAGATGGTCAAGGTATAGGCCTAAATATAAGTTGTTGAAAGTGTGCTGTACATGTGAAAATATTTTTATTATTTTTTACTTTTACATGTAACAATGTTTCCATCATTGTTCTATATACTGTACATATAGCATCAACAATTTATAAACATAAGCCTTCTATTGTATTGTAGGAAAACTTCCAGGTTTAATCAATGGTCAATGAAACATGCAATATGCAATCTTTTGTTTTTACATAAATTTTTGGTGTCACTTGTCAATTTAGGTATCATCTGAAAGATGTGATTGTGGGAAAGATATATTTCTTGCTTGTGCGGATAAAAATAAAACATATGGAACTGGCAATTATCAAACGAGAAACAACAGGCTCAGGTAAGATGGCATATATTTACTATCACCCTGTTTGTCACCATGTCCCCCTACTATTCTCTTTTTACCATGAGGAACACAAAGTGAGATAGCATACATTGTACAATTTACCATCCATACTGTCTGTCACATTATCACCCACCTATTCTCTTTGTACCATTTGGAACACAAGGTGAGATAGCATACATTGTACAATTTACCATCCACCCTGTCTGTCACCTTGTCTCCCTACTATTCTGTTTGTACCGTGAGGTACACAAAATATGATAGCGTACATTGTACAATTCATCATCCTCTCTGTCTGTCACCTTGTCCCCCACTATTCTCTTTGTACCATGAGATACACAAAGTGAGATAGCATACTTTGTACAGTTCACCATCTACTGTACCTGTTTGTCACCTTATCTTCCCATTATTCTCTTTTCGACTTGAGGTAAGACACAGGTTTTAAGTGTCCTGTGGAAGGCTCCCAGCAGTAGAAACAGCAAACCCCCTTCCCCAACTCTCATGGAAGCAAAAATCTCCCGGAAACTAACCCTTCTGCCACATAATATTTGCATTGTTTTACTACTGTATTTATCAATTGTTTCTCGAAAGTCAACTAACAATGTGTATTACCACACACAGCAAAATATATATATATGTTCAATTCGTATATGAAATATTAATTTCAGGGCCAAATACTTTCAATGAAAATGAAACCCTTGCTAAGTATGAAATCATGGATGGTGCCCCTGTACGAGGTGAGTCAAATTATATATAATATATTATATTTATTATATTATATTATTTAATATAGTTATATTATGTGTATTATATATATTATATAGACATAAAAGATTAGTCTGGTGCAGGAGATTATCCAACTAAGGGGCCAATTTATTCAAGTGGATGGGGTTCCCCACTCATGTCACTCCCCGTGGTTGGGGGCTAGGTGAGCAAATATTAAGAGTAGACACATCTAGGTACTTTCAGACTGTAAAACCTGTTTTTTTTTTGGTTTTTTTTCGAAGCAGTACAGTATTTGCCAATGAAAATATTTACTTCTTTTCTGACAGGGCCCAGGGCTCCCTGGGGCTCATCCCCCTAGCACTGCCATGTGAATGAAGCCATGCTGCTGCCACCACTCTAAGAATATCTTGGTAGGTCTGCAAATAGACTGAAATGTTAATTTTTATTATTTATTAGTTCATTATATATTTTTTTCTATAGGTGAATCAATTCCAATCAGGCTGTTCCTATCTGGTTACGAATTAACGCCCACAATGCGTGATATTAATAAGAAGTTCTCAGTACGTTATTATCTCAACTTGGTACTTGTCGACGAAGAAGAAAGGAGATATTTTAAACAACAGGTAAGCATTACCTAAGAATTTTCCTATACAAAAACTTCACTTTAGTGTAAATAGTTGTGAAGGTAAATATTGTGCTAGTCAAAATCTTCAATACAAAAATAAATGTAATCATGTCTAAATTCTACTGGAGTACCATGCATTGTTAACCTAAATGTTTATAATGATACATGGCACTCTCATTTACAGCCAATACTCATGCAGATAATTGTTATAATTATTTGTAGATATTTCTTTGGTTAATTTTTCTTTGTCTTCTGACTTTCTTACTATTTTATTTCATCCTAAATATCTATTTTGTCTTTCAGGAGATTGTGTTGTGGCGGAAACCAGACAAATTGAAGAAACCTGTAAACTTGCAAAATGCAGTGAAATCAGCGAGTACTAAAATGGAATGATGGACGAAAGGAACTCTAATGAAAAAAAAAAACATCAACACTAAACTATGCGTATTGCTCTTGGGTGGTAAAGGGCAAATTTTTAAAATTGTTAATCACTGAATTAGAAATAATTGTATTCAGGTATTGGTTCACAATTTTGAAAGAAAAAAAAACAGCATATTGGAGAAATTCACAAACCAAGTCAGAGAGTTTACTGTGAGGGTTGGTATATGTTTTGTTTTTGAATGGAAAAAAAACCAATCTTTTTTTAAAGTTCCACAAACACATGTCTCTCACAACCCTCAGTGTTAGGTGTTGGTTAAGAATATTCACATCAGGAGAGTCATGTTTAGAGTATAGCATATCGAAATACTACATCGCTATTTGAAACATCCAGATAATTAGGCATCAATTTTAAGTACACAAATATTAGATGGCTATCTGATAAATTAAAAGAATTATTTCAACATTCTTTGGTTGGAATTTCTATAGGATCTGACATTGTCTGTTCGTGCTATCAAGTTATATGTGACAAAAATCTTTGATTTGACCGTATAATTATGGGCTTGATTATGTCATTTTACATCCATATTTGGGGAAATCATGGGTACTTGTCACATAAGACCGAGCTTTTTACTGACTTTGTTTATCTAGAATCCTGAAAGCTGTGTCATTAGTCAGTACAAGAAATAAGGGTGCAGATCTGTTTTGAAAGTTGAGGGGAATCTGCATACTGTATATATGAGAAAGCAAGTGAGTCAAATATTAGAAATAATGATATTTTAGTTACAAGATTATTCATTGTTTAGGTACTTGCTATTCAAAAGGATGTACAGTTGATTTTAAGTGAAAACAAAGAAGGTGCAGAGATTGAGGTCTGTGACAGCTTTAGCATTACATGAGCACTCTATGGTAGGGTTGCCAAAACATGGCTGGCAAGATAACTCCTTGAAAACATAGCTGCTAAGATAACTCTTTGGGGTTAAACGCATTTCTTCTTTCTTAAGTGCATCTAACAAGTAGAACAAGGCATTTTTCTCTTCTCCAATCTTGGTAGGTCTGCCCAAATAACTGGATTTATCTATAAACTTTATCCTAATTTGCGCCTTGCTTTATATTTCAATAATCAGTTCTTGTACTGACGATTTTTAGCTGTATAATTAGTATAATTATCTATACATTTTATTACATTTGTGAAAAGGATCCAACAGCATCATTATATAGGGCTCATGCATTTAATTCTATTGTCAGCTAGCATTTAGAAACACCCTCATGTAAGTGTCGGCTCATTTTGATGTTGGTTTGAAGTAAATAAAAACTAATATAATAAATTTGTTTAATTATTGAAAGTCATATTGATGTTCTCATGGTTTTGTCAAATACCATAATATTATGTTGGCATGGTATTTAAATACAATTTATTTTCAAAGTATTTTTAATGATGATAGAAAAATGATAATACAATAGTGCCAATATATGTAAGGCCTTGGCAGAAAAAGAAAGGTTGTTTCTTCATCTTCATGAAAAGAAATCTCTCCCTGTAAAAAAAAATTGAGTGCTCTATTTCCCCTCCCCCTGTTGAATGAATATCTACTCAAAAGCCTGTGCCTAAAAAAAGTTTAGGGATGAAGAAATTTCCCTTTGTACTCTAACTTTGTAAAACCATTGATTATTTTTTACATGGCCCAATAAACTTTTTTTAGACACCCACCCTTCCTTTTGTCTGTCATGTATATGGAAATCCATACATGATTTGTATATACATTCCAAATATGATTTATTTTTCCTGACATTTCACTGAAAAAAAGAATCCTATATAAAATGAATTGATGATGGTGGTACTTTTTGACTAATACGTTTTTTATTGTTAATATTTTTATTGCTATAATTTTTGTTGTAATATTATATTCAGATTTTCATTTTGAACCAACAATTCAACAACATTGGAAATTTTAACTTAACTATTATTATATCAGAACCAGATGAAATTGTTTGTGGATAGTACTGTATAATTATTGTTATATAGCTATTATTGATATTCTTTTTGTTATAATAATATTATTATTATTATTATTATCAATTATAATAAACAAACTTATTAAAAACATAAGTTGCCAATTTCTTAACTGTTAAACATTTTAATTGAATTTCAACCACCGCTGTTATTAACCAAGCTTCCACAGATGAAGTTATTGTTGTTTGTTTTTTTTTAGTTCACTTGTTATTTAAAAAGTACTTAGGCATGAAAATGGCTACATGACAAACTACCCTTTCCCTTTAAACAGGCTTTTAATAGAAATGAAAAGAAGCATGATTTGTTTGATCAGATATGTCTGAAATATGTACTTTAATGCTATGTCCACACTATCAAATTTTCTCTGACAAAACACTGTTGTATGCACATATTATATAGTCACGATGTGCCTATATATGGTCATCATGTGATGTCATCATGACCATATTTAGGCATGTCTAATATAATTTGATAGTCTTGACAGGGCTTAAGATAAAGTTGGATCAAACATTGTCTATACTAAGTTTGACAGATACATAGGGAGTCATAGAACCGAATATGAGTACTCTGTTGTTTGCTCAAGGATAGTGTTCCTTAACAATGTCAGCTTTAAAAGCGTTAAATGGTAGATATTTATTACTACAATGTTTCGTTACTACAACATTTTTGTTTTTATAACTTCTATGTTGTATTTGCTGAACTCTCACTAACCCATTTTGTGATTCTGTACTCCAATGAAATTATTAATCTGGATTAAGAAACATCACCATTTTGTCCTTTTTCTCTCTCACTGTGTTATTGGCTTAGAGATTAATTACATGTAAACTTATAAATATATATACTATCATTTGTTATTGTTGTAAATGTGATAATTTCAGTTCAAATGTTAAAATATTCCATATCAAAATATTTCAAATAAAATACATGGAGTATAAATAACATCATATATTTGCTTTCTTTTTATCTGCTGTATATTGCAATTTTCTTTTTTTTATTGTGGTTCATTTTTGTAAATTTTCCAGCAGTATTTTAAATAATACACAATCATGAATACAAAAATGTTGTGATAAACAAATAATTATTATGAATAGTCAGAACCATCCACAATTTTCTTATTTCATGTAACTTTTTAATATATTTTAAACATTAATTATGAAATAATTATTAAAAATTAATTACAATCAGATGGTTTCTGTTCGCTATTGTTTTTGCCTATTTAGCAGGTGTATTTTAAAGAAATGCTGTCTGATACACTGCAGAAAATAAACATTATTAAGATAAATAATAATTAATTAGGATCAGTCAATGAGACATTTTACAGCAATATACTCTTCTTAAGGTCTGTCTCTTATACACATCTAGATGTGTATAAGAGACAGCTGCCATACAGTATGCCTTTTTGAATAATACAAAATTTAAAACAGAAGCATTTCGTCCTGTTAGAAGATCGTCACTACTGTACTTTGAAACACTGATGATGAAGAATAATAATAATAGCGCCCTTTACGTCTGGTTTCTGAGAAAGTTGAGACAAGATTCTTTTAAATTTAACGAATTGTGTTTGGTATCCAAGAGAGCTTTCTAATTAAGGAATCTATAGTGCATGCTTTTTAAATTCCCAATGTGACGACATGTGACGCACATTTTAAGCTTTTCTGTTCGATTTGGGCACATTGCAGAAACAACGGTACCGGTATATAGGCCTAAACTATTGTTAATTTTATCATGGATGTCATCTTATTAAATGATATGATGACGATTCGATTATGTAACTTTTTAATATATTTTAAACATTAATTATGAGATAATTAATCAAAATTAATTACAATCATTTGATGCTTTTAAGAATAAATGATTTGCGTGTATGAAAAATAGGAAGATGTATGTTTCTGTCACAATCATGAATATATATACAGTTGTGATGAATATACAAATAGTAGTCATGAATATTTATACAGTTGTAATGAATATACAAATAGTAGTCATGAATATTCGGTGAAGCAGCCACATTTTTCTTATTTAGGCCAATGTCATTTTAAAATATATTTTAAACATTAATTATAAGATAATTATTAAAATTAATTATAATTAGATGGTTTCTTTTGGATGTTGTTTTTGTCTGTTTGGCAGATGTATTTCAAAGAAATGTCTGATACCATTTTGAAATTAAATAATAATAATTAAGGATCAGTCAGTGAGACGCATTACAGCAATATTGTTTTCATTTATTTACAGATTAAGCAAAAAAAAAATAAAACTTAAAATCAGAAGCATATCGTCTATCACTACTCTGGGACATTAATGTAGACAGAGCCGTGAATAGAGAGAGTTTGGCCAACTCGGTTTCAATCACGTGACTTACACCGGCCATGTTGTCACCAAAACAAAACAACGCGATAGGGTAGGAAGTTAGCAGTTATTATAGATGATTAATGCTATATAATGTGAAATACCATTATGTTGGTTTTGGGGTTGCTGCAATCGATCCAACAAAGAAACAAAAATGTATTAATTTCCTTAAATTCCAAAAAGGAGGAGGATTTGGGATTTTATTTTAACTTTGCATGGATAGCAAATCTCGCTATCCACGTCACGTAGTAAATTATAAGGCATGTACCGCCCGCCCCACTTCGGGGTAATAATATCCACCTACTACTACTAGGCCTAGACACATGGACAGCGGAACCCGGGGGGGGGCCGGCTCCCCACTTTTTGGCAACAAATATATTATGTCTGGAGATTTTTGTATGATCGGAAAGAAATGCAAGAAAAGAAAGAAGGAAGGAGGAGGAGAAGGATGGGAAAAGAATGTTTATCCAGTCCCAGACCGAGTTACATTTTCTCGCAATTCACATTGGCGGATCTGGGGAGGAGGGTCATGGGTCCTGACCCTTCCCTTGGGCAACAAAAAAAGGGAAAAAAAGAATTCTAGACCTACCTTTTCAGGACCCGTGAGCTGTTTATTTATTTTTTTTTTATGTTACTATAAGAAAATTAGAATTTTGAAGAACATAAAAGTCATTAAACACACTTCAAATGTCGGGAAAGCTCATTCATCTAGGAACCCCCAGACCACCATTTCTTTTGGGGATTTATCGATTCGTGGAAAAAAGAATACGCATGTAACTACTCATTTATTTATGTATGTATAAACACATAAAATAAAAAATGAGAAAATTTTACCTGACCGTCTTCAAGAGGGGAAAACCTTGAATTTTGAAGAACTTAAAAAGTCATTTAAAAGACATTTCTGAAGTCAGGAAAGCTTATTTCCCGCATTCTAGAAATCGAAATTTTCCCGGGGAACCCGGAACCCCTTTTTGTGGGGGGGTTCATCGATTCATTGAACCATTTTCAAGAGGGGGAAATCTTGAATTTTGAAGAAATTTAAAGTAATTAAAAGACACTTCAGAAGTCGGGAAAGCCCATTTCCCGCCTTCTAGGAATCAATTTTTTTTTCGGGGGAACCAGACACCTTTTCCTTGGGGGTTCATTGATTCATTTAATTATTTTCAAGAGGTGAAAAACCTTTAATTTTTTGAAGAAATTAAAAGTAATTAAAAGACACCTCAGAAGTCGGGAAAGCTCATTTCCCGTCTTCTGGAATCAAAATTTTCCCGGGGGTGAACCTCCGGACCCCCTTTCTATTTGGGATTTATCGATTTATGAAAAAAAAAATTATATGCAACTACTCAATATTTTTTATATGTATGTATACACACATAAGGCCTATTTACTGTAATAACAAGTGGAAAAATTTACCTGGCCGTTTTCAAGAGAGGAAACCTTGAATTTTGAAGAACTTAAAAGTAATTAAGACAACTCAGAAGTCGGAAATATTTCCCGCCATTTAGGAATCAAAATTTTCACGGGGGAGAACCCCCGGAACCCCCTTGTCTTTGGAGCTTATCGATTAATTGAAAAAAGAATACGTATATATGCAACTACTATTTTTTTTATGTAAGTATACACACACAACCGGCCAATTTACTTTAATAAGAATGAGAAAGTTTACCTGACCGTTTTCAAGAGGGGGAAAACCTTGAATTTTGGAGAACAAAGTCATTAGACACCTAGCTAAAACCTAGCTACTTGAGAAGTTGGGAAAGCTCATTTCCCACCATTTAATCAACACTTTCCCGGGATGAACCCGAACCTCCATTTTCTCTTTGAGTTCATTGATTCATTATAATAATTTTCAAGAGGGGAAAGCCTTGAATTTTGAAGAACTTAAAGGTAAATTAAAAGACACTTCAGAAGTCGGAAAAGCTCATTTCCCGCCTTCTAGGAATCAAAATTTTCCCGGGGGGAGGACCCCCGAACTCCCCTTTTTTTTTGGGATTTATGGATTCATGGAAAAAAAAATCGTATGCAACTACTCAATTTTGTTTATGTATGTATCATAGCCGTCGGAAGCATTTTGCAAGTGTGTCCGGCCATTTTAATAAGAGTGGGCATGGGTGGGTGGTAGGGTGCAACACATTTTTTTCCCACCATAGTTGAAAAAATGGCTCCTCAGCCGGGAAATAGCACATGCATAATTTCAGAAAAATTAATGTCTTCACTTTTAATTTAAGGGTTACAATTTTTTATGTTGGAAGTAGGCCTAATCAGGGCCAGCTTGGCCATTATACCTTTGCCAAAATGTTATAATAGTTATTTTATATTATACCTCTAAACAATTTCAAAATCAATCTTAAATATTGAAATTAAGGATTGTCAATAAAGTTGAAATGTACACGGCAATACAATAAATTGTGTTATAGGCCTATATTACTTACACGTAGATATATTTGCCAATGCACTGTTTTGTGTATAGCGTCTTTTTCTATTGAATGACGATAAATGTTAGTGGCAATGTCAGTAATATTTTAATGGAAAGACAAGTTGATGTCTGGCTACTAGGAAATGTTTAATTAAGAATAAATAAGAGCATGCAGTGACTGTACAACCATTTTAAAACATTTAATGTATTATTTTTTAATTTACATCTAAATAGAGAAATCTGAAGACCACATTTAGTAGGCCTACCCATGAGTTCCATGTCTCCCGTAGAGTCTCGCAATGGGGTCTCCTAGAAACTGGCAGGAAGAACTCCAGCATATTTTTCCCCGAAATAAACCATCTCCCGCAAATTCATGATGATATTTGCATGCTTTAACAAGTTATGAAACTGTAATGTCAATTGTCTGCGCAGCAGTTAGTACCAATCATTAATGGTTATCACCATGCACAGCAAAATTTGGTTGTGATGAAAATTCATTTAAACAGATCTCCCGGATGTGGATTCTTCCAAATTGGGACTTGAATTCGACACCAAAAGACCACCATGCACAGGACTACAGGGAAATAGTTTTAGCATTAATAATAATAATAACACCTTACATTAACTGTAGGCTCTACACCCATTCACACATCTTACATTTACTATATCATTTCTTAATTCCCCTCTAAATAGAGATATTAGAGACTACTTTTAAAGACGGTCTTTAATTACATTGATTCAAATTAGAGACCAAAGCTGCTAAAGACCACTTAAAACCCTGGTCCCAAAAAGGATTTTTAATTGGTGGTATGGAGGGAGACCTGTGATAGGATAGAGAAAAAGTGGTCCGCCCAAAGCCGGTGCGGTTCCGACGGCCCTGTGTAAACACACATAAGGCCTATCTGCTGTAATAACAATGGAAAAAATTTAACTGACCGTTTTCAAGAGGGGAAAATGAGAAAGTGTATCTGATTACCGGTATATATTTAAGGGGGATGGGGGAGGGGGAACCTTGAATTTTGAAGAACATAGTCATTAGACATCTAGCTCAAAAGTCGAGAAAGGTAATTTCCCGCCATCTAGAAATCAAAATTTTCCAGGGGGAGGACCCCCGGATCCCCTTTCATTTTTGGGAAACAACTAAAGCCTAAGCTCATCAATATTGTTCCTCTGCTTGAGTGTGCAAAATGAAATTATTCTGAACGAAATTGCGAATCCAATCGTTGAATTATATATATCAGAAACTTGGGTTTTAAAGGTGCTTTATAATAAGCAGGGGCGGATCCAGAAATGTCCAAAAGGGGGGGCCGGAAGCGGGGGCCGAAAGTTGGGCCGATTGAGACAACACTGTCGTACCGGGGGTCTGGGGCATGCCCCCGCGAAATTTTTGTGTTCTAGACGCCCGAACATAACATTTGAGGCATTCTGGGCTATCATTTTTTTCTTTTTCTCTCTTTTTTTTTTCCCCCCCCCCTAAATCCGCCCCTGATAAGAACAATATGAGGATGACAATGTTGAGGTTGAGCATGGCGGTGGTGGTGATGATGACGATGATGATGGTGGTGGTAGTGGTACCTAATAGTAATCATGATGAGGAAGGCGATGGTGATGATGATAATGTTAGTGATCATGGTAGTATTGACGTCCGGACGACGTAGAGTAGTAGACGACGAGATGAAGGTTATATTGATCCTCCTCCTGTGTTTTGGAGGAGTTCTTTTGTTGTTTTTTTTTTCTATTGTTGGGCTGCGGCTCCCCTTCTTGAAATTTTTGAAATTTAAGGCATGGTTTCACACAATTTTGTGGCTGCTACCGGGAGGAGGAGGTGAGAGTGTGTGTATGGATGGGGTGCGGGGGGTGGGGTGAATGTTTGGAGTCAAACATTGTAAATTTTATCGATCTATATATAGACTTTTTTCTATTTATAATAATCTGCACCTATGTTATAAAAGCTTTTGTCAAAATATGGCCTTTTCCAAATTTCTGATTTCGAGTTGCTCTTAAAGTATGGAAACAAAATATAAGATTACTGGTAGTATCACGTGACCACTTCCGCAATCATAAAAAATAGCCGAGTAGAGAAGATGGCGACTTACTGATGGAGAGCATGACTGTGTGAGAGGCGAAGGCAGAAATTCCAGGGAAGTTTAGGATATTTTAATCAGGAATAAATTAAGGGACCAAAACAATTCTTTCATTTCAAAGCCGGATATTATAATTCATTATAAAGGTAGGATTTGATGTAGTTTGTGCCTTATGCTGTTGGCGGCAACTGCCACCTCTCTGCATAATGACATCAAAAATTACCGGTGCGCCGGGCTAGCCTATAAAGTTTAGATGGGTCATTGAAAGTTTTTTGGCTGGCTGTGGGATGTGAGAGATGCAGGATGGCCTTTATGGGCCTACTTATATAGCGTACCAGTTTTCATCCCACCTCAAGATATTAATGCTAAAATGGGCTGAATCCATCCACGGTAATATTCACGTGGTTTTTGTTTTGGCTTGACCTAGAAACTGGTCGTCATTAGAAGAATTAAAGTGTTGATAAGATTGAGTTGATATTTTGATGACACCAGGGGTGTTTGGCCCTAGGCCTACTTACTAGGGGCCTAGTACATCTGTATCCGTGTGTGGAGGATGGGTGGGGGGATGGTGGGTGGAGAAGGGAATTAACACATTATTGTAGGGCTAGATTAGTTATATTTATAGGTTTGGTATATTTTGTTTCACTATAGTAGTATGTATGCCTATGGCATATTGATATTTTTTTGACATGCCGTAGTGTATTAATAAGAGAGCAGCAAGACTTAAGGTTAGCTTAGTTAGGGTAAAAGCCAGCTCCTCCACCAATCAACATCACAGATTTACATAAGGTTGTCGGAACAATGTCCACGGCCTATTTTGTTTGACTAGGCCTAGGGCCAAGTTGATAGATAAAAGTTAAAGTGGTGGGGTAGCCATAATCATATTTCATCAGTGTATTAAAGTTTTTCAAGAGCCACAGTCTTACTACTAGGCATAGGGCTGGTGAATATCAGGAGCCTCTTGAATCCATGTAATCTCTCGGTCTGGGGAATTTTGTTAATTCTCCTGAATAAAAAAAAAAAGAAGAACCTGCACCCCACTGACTTTATTTACAAGATTGTCCAAGCATTACTGACACCTTGAAAGATCACTTCAAATATGCTATTAATCAAATAGGCTTACAATATATTACCAAAGAAAACTTGGATTTTTAACATTTGTTGGGAAAAGGGCACCTTTCACATGCCCAACTGCCTCCTTTCTCCCAAGGGACCTGAGTATGTGTTGCATGTGCTTGATCCAGTGACCGGGGATAATAATGCTAAGTGCATTATCTAGGTCTCTACAATATGCGCTATATTAAGTCAACAATTATTATCCAAAATATAAAAATGTTGAAATAGATAATAATAATATACAATTGAAAATTTACATGCAATGATTAATTACCATTATAATTTGCTGATTGTTGATCATATTATTATACTGTAAAGTATGGCCTATAGCTTACTGAACTGAAGAACTACTACTACTGTAGTTCATCATCCACTGCCCTAGGAACTGTCCAGTTAACGGCATCATTTTATAGTGTAATTGCCTGTTGTGAACTGGTTTCCTCATGCTCAGTATGAAATTTAATTGCTGTAGAATCTAATTTAGAAGTTCATGTTTGTTGTGCTTAATTATGCATAATGTGGTACAGTACTGGAATAGGTACTCTTGTGGCCGCCGAATGTGGCTTTGAGGCATTTAACGGCTGATGCTTAAATGTTGGGGTCTGGTAACAGCCTATACAACCCAAATGTCTTGGTATGAGGCTGCTTGCCAGTGTTGAGTAGAAGGGTCCAGTTTGTGGTCGGAGTTGATGCTCCTTTTAATCTACACCCTTTTAATAGGTAATTTAAATGATTATTTAAAGGTACTTGTCTCTTGGTGAGGTACATTCATCAGGGTTTTCATTAAGGTTTAGTGTAGGAGGAGAATGAGTATGAGGTGCAGAAGAGTTTTTTTTTGGGGGGGGGGTCTGGGGCGTATCCCCCAGTGGGCTATAAAAGTAGCCGGTGAAAACCGTAGTAATTGGTTGAAATCGCCGGCTCTTAATGAAACCCTTGTCCATCATTCTTTTCACCCAAAGTACTTTTCACTCAGCATCCTCCCTCTCCCAAAAGGTGAAATAGGTGAAAATTTAAATGGCAAAGTGAACAATGCATCTTTAATTAATTATATGTTCCTTATCAGTTGCCTTTTTATTCTAGTAGTCATATTTATTACATGATGATAATGAAAGACATTGTTTATATTATTTCAATTTAAAATTAAGAAGAAAAAAATATTTCTTTTCCAATACAGACTCATAAAAATATATGATTGCTATCCTTTGCATATTTCCAGCTTTTAATTGGCTAGGGTAGTAACGTAAATCAATTTTTATAGATTTTTGTATTCTTTGTATGTCTCCTTGGAATTGGTAACATTTTTCCCAATGTTATAGAATGTTTATCATATTATTATTACAGAAAGCATATATTTCAATCATTTAAAATAATACCTTTTTCATTCCTACGAAAAGATTTCAAGCATTAAACTACTAAATGAGTACCCAACAAGTATTTTCAAAGTGTTGGTTCGAATCTCAATTTACTGTAGACAGTATCTTTTTGGAGGAAGTACTATATTCCAAATAATAAAACTTGTGTTACATTAAAACCTGATAAAATTTAAATATGATTATTAGATGTTGGTTTTTGTCTTCCTGTTGCATTATACATTCTGCTTTGCAAATATTTTAATTACAAACATTTAAAAAATATAAAGCTTTTAAATCCACATCGCAAAATTAATTATTTAATATTCAGTGTGTTGAAAAGTGGTACTTATGTTATTATTAACACAGTAGGGCCTATAATCATGTGTAAACTTGTATTGTATACTAACAGTAAATAGTTTGGTTATCTAGTCAAATATGCTCAGATATATTTCAGTATCCTAGTACTTCACTTTTAATAATGTAAATCTACTATGTAAACTTACAGTATGTCTACGTCATTAGAGTGGTTGAAGACACTCGGACTATCACAAACACTGCCTTTATATAACCACTTGCAGTTCATTAATCAACAATAAGTAGGTATGCACTTGAAAATCACCTCCCCATAATGAATATGAATTTGTTACTTTCCTTCTGTAAATTAATTATGCATGTTTGACAGAAACGACTTCAAAAGTTAACAACACTCAGTGAAAGAGGAAATACAGTAACAGATGCTAGGTATGTGATGTGGACTATCAATAGCAAATTTGTGAATGTTTTTGTGATATTTTTATTTGAACATGTATTAGATGTGTTCTTTGTTTATACTATTTGCTTTGTATTGATCAAATTTGGTAAAGCACCTTAAATAGTGTTTTATAATGCTATTTCTACCTAGTGATTTTTAGATTTTGCAGAATTTGTTTTTATTTATTTATTTATTTATTACATATTTTACAAACTGTTCGAAAGGAAACATTGGACTGAGGGCCCAACACAAAAGTGAGAACCTCTTGACATAAAATATAATACAATATAAAATATATAAAATCAGTACGGAACACCATGGTTAAAATTTGTTTTAATACATTAAAAATTACAATGAAAAAGAAAATAATAATAAATAATAATAAATTCATCTCATATTGTTTAAATCATTATTGTTGCTGTAAAATCATGGCTTAATCAAAGGTTTGTTTTGTTCTTGTTTGTTTTTTTATATATATAATTGGATTTTAAAAATACGATAAATGCTTGAAGAAGTGCCACGGCGCTTATGAACTTTTTGAAAGCTTCAGTCCGGCGCTTGTTTGAGAGCGGCGCTTATAAAAATATACTGGCATGGCATGCCGCACGTATTCCCCCAGTTCAGTAGGCTTGTCATTAGTCCCACGTCATCATAAATAAATTTTTATGAAGAAATGCTTTTGTCTTCATTGTGTTATTTATTCCTTTTTAACACTGTATTGTATTTAAAACCCTGTTTCTCAAAGTTTTTCATTACACACCAAGTAATATACTCTTTATTAAGTGGTGCAGCGCTTATTCGAGAGCGGTGCTTAACTTAAAATAAATTGGGTTTGGTGCGGCGCTTATTTAAGCATTTACAGTAAAAATAGTAGTTCTCTATTTGATTGAGATGCAGCTTTATATCTTAGTGCTCCTCATCATATCTTAGACATACCCACTAAATCATTATATAATTATAGAATGGTGGCAGTCATGTTCAATAGTCATGTGATCCCCACTTTAAACAGCCAGTATTCACATTTATCCTGGTTGTTTGAAAATGATCTTGTTTGAACGAGATATAGTTTGTCAGTCGTGTCCGGAGTGGGTAGATTTCAAGCTTTTGAAAGGAATCCACGATCCTTAGTAGAGAAAAACATTATTTTTTAAGCTGGTTTTGTCGCAGTTTGTGTCTCATGTGAGAATGCTTTTGTACCCAAATTTTTTAGCTGGATGATTATAATAAAGATAATAAAACATTTCCAGTAACTGGAAGTGTTTCTATCATTTTTTTCGCTGTAAAATGATGGGTAAACATTTGTTAAATACACTAATTCCTATGTTCAAGACACTAATTTCTAGGGTCAATAATTTTTATGTTACTTCAAATGGGCAAGTTAATTTCAAAATGATATTTATGATTTTGTTGGTATTTTCCATGGGACAGTGCATCTTTAATGTTAGTAAATTAATTAGTAAAGTTTGTTGTACAAGTTGGCTAGTTAGTTTGTGATATTGGCTTATGATGATAGTTTTGGAAGGACATTTTAAACTTTGAGATTTTATATTTTTAATGATTCTGTGTTACCATTCCCATTTTATTACAGTACCTGATGAAGACACATGCAATTCTCTTTTGATGATTTAAATGTGTTATCCACTTTTCTATTTGATCAAACTTCTGATCTTAACATATTTTACCTATTATTTTTAATTAAGGTATGTTTTACTATACTTTTTTTATGTGATTTGTGGATGCACCTTTTTGTTTAACGTGTGCCTCTGTTTTAAAAAGAAGTTCCAATAAATTATTATTATATGCAAGTCATTGAATATATATTAATTACAGATTCTAAATTATCTTTCTAACTTTTAATACTGAAGATATTAATGAATTGTGGAGCACTCTTTGAAATGGATTAATCCATTTCCAGATAGGGGTATTT